ATATTCTACTTTTGATTAGTTTAGGGCCTGTTTGGTGCAATATAGGCTAGGAATAGGATTAGGAATTTTATTTTATTTATATTCTACTTTTGATTAGTTTAGGGCCTGTTTGGTGCAATATAGGCTAGGAATAGGATTAGGAATTTTATTTTATTTATATTCTACTTTTGATTAGTTTAGGGCCTGTTTGGTGCAATATAGGCTAGGAATAGGATTAGGAATTTTATTTTATTTATGAATTCCAATCTAATCTATAAAAAATTTATAGACAAGTTTTAGTTTTATAGAATCCTATTTTTGTTGCATTCTATGTTGTTTCACCCAAAGAAAAAAAAATCTCACTTTTATAGAAACTCTCCAATTCTTAATACCATGTTTGGTTCAAAATGAAATTTTTTTAAGGGATGAACACTATAGCAACGGCTAGCTCACTGATCATCACAAAATCACTGTAGCAACGGCTACTTCCATCAACCAACTTCAGAATTTAAAGAAAAAACACTGTAGCAACGACTATTTCCACCATCTTTAAGATTCAAAGACATAACATTGTAGCAACGGCTAGTTCAAGGTCATAGTGGCTATAAATTCAACTTGAGGCCTCAAATTAATCAATGCATTCTCATTTCTCAGCAATTTATAAATTCCCATTATCTGTAATTTGCATCCCAGACATCAATATGATATCAGAAGAGTGCTACCAAAATTATGAAGTTTATTGCGACTGCAATCTTCGAACACCAATGAAAGTGTGCAAGAATGGTAAAAATAAGGGAAGGTGTTATTGGGGGTGTGCAAAATTCCCAAATAAAGAATGCAATTTTTTCGAATTGACTGATGAAAGAGGAGACATAAGCAACCAAGGAAGCCAATATGTCACAGAAAATACGTACGGAGATAAATATATTTTACAATCAAAGAGGCTAAAGAAAGAATTGAGACTTGTCGAAAATCAACTACTAGCTTGGAAAATTTCAGCAATTTTATTAGCAATTTTTGTATTATTTTAATTATTATAAACTGCATGTCATGTCCTTGTACTTGCAAAAACTATTGAGGTTGTAATGAAAACCGTTTTTGGAATTGGGTATAAATTCTAATTGATATTGTATGGCTCAGTAATAGATCAACTTGTCATAATTGATTGCCCCACCTATAACTTGCATGTTTATTACAGATTGCATTATAAGGATGAATTGTCTCGCCTAGACATTGTCAATTCAATGTAGGCTGCAATCTCATCACCTTTTGCCTCATCTGAATATAATAAACAATGTAAGTTAGATTGCATTCTTAGTAAACGCTAATCATCATCATTGCCAAATATCAACTGCAATGAGCTACACAAGCTCAAAACAAAACAGCAACAAACCCACAGGCAAGGAAAAACAAAATAGCTCCCACATAGCAGCGGCTAGCTACACAAGCTCAAAAACAAAACAGCAACAAATCCAAAGGCAACAAAGCCACACAAGCTCCAGCGAAAACAGCAACAAACCCAAAGGCAATGAGCTACACAAACTCCAAACAAAACAGCAACAAACCCAACTTAAGGAGCTACACAAGCTCCCTAACTCAGCCACAAATCCAAAGTCAATGAGCTACACAAGCTCTAGCGAAAACAGCAACAAACCCAAAGGCAAGGAGCAACACAAGCTCAAAACAGTTTCCTCATATAACCCAAAAGCAATGAGCTACACAAGCTCAGAACAAAACAGCAACAAACCCTGAAGTATTGAGGAGCTACACAAGCTCAAAATAACAGCCACAAACCCAAAGGCAATGAGCTACACAAGCTCCAAACCAAACAGCAACAAACCCAAGAGCAAGGAGCTACACAAGCTCCAAACAAAACAGCAGCAAACCTAATTCATAGGAGCTACACAAGCTCTGAACAAAACAGCAACAAACCCAAGCAATTAGAGCTACACAAGCTCCAAATAACAGCCACAAACCCAAAGAGCAAGGAGCTATACAAGCTCCAAATAATAGCCAATAACCCACAGCAACCACGTGTGACTTTGGAGCAATAAACCCAAAGTCATAGCCAGCAGGAGGTCCACTGCTTTGAGCTTCAAAACCGACAGCAGTTAACCTAAGCAACAGAATGTAAAAGTCGACATCAGTAAACCCAAGCAACAAACTCATTTACCTGATATCAAAAGCAAAGGCAAAATTCAAAGAACTCATTGATCATTCCACGACCATACTTACCTGCATCAAAAGTTAAAATGTACCAATTCATCAATCCCACAACGGCATAGATGTTCTTCATAATAATAATATATATTGCAACATTAATAGTTTGCAATTAACACAATAATATCCATCAAAATATAATCGAAAACCAACAAACTAGCTATCCGTCCAACCTTGGTCATTAACTAATTTGGTTATGTACATCTGTTGACCTTCCTTGGATTTTATGAAAAACCTCCTAGCTTCATGTTCATTGTCATATAAATGGTCTAAAACCCTATCGAGGAACTCCTCAGAATATTCAGACCTATGTTCCTTCAACGCTGCAGCCAACTGCTCAGTCTAGTGAATAATGTGTTGATTTCTCATTGACCGAGACATTGACTCAACAAAGGCACATAGCATTTCCTCTTCACGATTAGATTTTCTAGTTTTCTTGTTAGATGATGAAGTCATGTTGTCTTTACTCTTAGTCTTATATCTAGTCAGTTGTGGTTGGTTAACAGTATCAGAATGTGGTTGGTTGCAAGCATTAGAATATGGTTCAGTTTCACTCTCCTCTAGAATCTCGCAATCATCATCGGGAATAGGTATGGACCTACTAGATCCAATGTTAGAGTACACGGGCCTAACAAATTCACCCTTGGCTTGATCATCACCCATGATAACTTGTAAATTTTTGAAGTGAGCAAGGGGTTTGTTTATGTACGCTTTGTACTTAAAATTGGATTTGTCCTGCAATAACAAATACTTATAAGTGGCGAATCAAATGTATTAAATTTTGGTGACAATATAGATGCTGAATTTGTTATACCTGAGCCTAAGATTTCAAGGTCTCATCATCCAATGTAATTATTTTACTTGTTTCATCCCACCCAGCACCACTAATATCAAGGCAAGCCTTTATGTCGTTGAATTTGTTCCTCAAACATTTCAAGTGGTTAATGACATGTAGGTGAGTAAAATCAGTCCTGTATTGCATGTTGATTTTCATGGCAGCCATTTTATAAGCTTCAGCCTTAAAGTTCTTGTCTGGCTTCAGGCCATCCAATGCTAAATCTGCAAGATAAGGAATAAGCATATCATCGTGCTCTGGAAGCCAAAACTTATTAGCCACGCCTGGCACCCAGAACTTTTTTCTTATGAGCTAATTTTTTCCCTCTTTTCAATGGCGAAGTGTGCTCCGCACCATCAACGTCATGAATATCCTTTCCACCTGAATCACCAGTGTTTGGTGAAAATTGATTAGGTCCACTACTTTGAGAACTGGCTGTAGGAAATAGCAAACCTTGTGTACTGCTTAACAAGCTCATGTATGACATTGGCGGCTGTGTCATCCTACCATAATTACCATCATATGGTGGGAATAGTGAGAATGTATGAGGAGGTGAAGTGAATGGTTGTGGTCAAATAGGTGTAGGCGTCGAAAATTGCCTATAGGTCTCCACGAACAGCTCAGTGTTAAGGAATGATGATGAACGTCACTATCCGGTTCACAGGAGTTCGATTGACTTCGGTGAACGCTTGAAGTGAATCGACGAACTACGTGAGCTGACAGAATTCCGGAATAACGAAGGTGCGGGCTAATCGGGAGCCCCGCAATGTTTACAAAGGGAACAATGCCCTTCGTTTCCCATTCATTCTACCGATAATCCAACCATTGGAGCTGATAGAACTCCTTGTCGGCTTTCCAACGCATTTGGAATCACTCAGATCCGGGTTCAGACAAAGAAGTTACAGCGAAAACAGTCAAACGGGCATTGAAAACGTCTCAAAGCTGAACTGATGCACCTACGGTGTCTCGGCCAAGTCAAGACACCCCAAGGGGTGTCTCGGTTTAGCCGAGCACCCCAGGGTGTCTCGGCCAAAGCCGAGATACCCCAAGGGTGTCTCGGTTTAGCCAGACACCCCAAGGGTGCTCTCGGCCAGGCCAAGACACCCCTTAGGGCTGTCTCAGCGCGGATTATGACCCCTAAGTGGCGTTTTAACCGCTCCGCAAACCCCTCATGCCTATAAATACAAGCCTTAGGGCCTCATTTTTGAGATCTGGAGTTTAGCTTTGGTGAGAATTGGCGAAAGCCCTGCCGAGTTTGTAGAGTTGATCGAGCACTTCAACGCAAGAGACATTTCTTCGTTAGATCTACGATCACCCGTACCCGATCCTTAGTACTTATCCCGTTGTGCGTAATACTAAGAAGAGCAAATATCTCGTTTTAGCCGAGATAGGCGCTTCAGGCTTCTAGATCTCCTCGCGGATCGACGAAGCTCTGGATCAGATCTGATTGCCAGGTAGTCCACGGATATCAACATCCCCGTCACAGGCTAAAGACTCACGCAAGCAAGAGACGACGAACGGATCTTGTGTTTATTTTCAAGAAAGTTGTAATTTTTTTTTATTTCTTTGTTGTTTGAATTCATTTGTAACATTTGAAGTTTAATGAAATCAATGATGAAGGCAATTTTCGACGAAAACAAACTGGCGACCACAGTGGGAGCCAACAGCCTCGCTGCCGAGGCCGTCGTGACGCAACCGGCCTTCAAGATCCGGGTGAACGAAGAGCTCGAATACGAGTTCGATCAACAGAAGTTTGAAGAGTACCTCTCTTCCTCCTCCTCCAGATCCGCCTCTCCAAACAGGCGCAGGAAGATTTCACCTTCCAAGAGTGCTCCCGGGCCCTCAGGATCGAAGATCCAAGATCCCCTCGCCGCCGTTGCACCTACTCACCGCGACGCTCCTATGGTGTCTAACATGGTGGAAGCTGCAGATCCAGATCTCCCTTCCGCCGTAAAGTCAACCCCTGAAGGTGTTCCAACCTTGTCGAAGAGGGCGCGCCAAAGACGGCGTCAACGCCTTGCGCGACAACTGGCTAAAGCCGCAGAATCCGTGGACGGGATCCGCTACAATGAGGATCTAAAGTCCAGACAGCGCCAAGAGCAACAACGGTGCACAACCAACTCCTCCTCTAAAGCGGAGACAAATGAATGGGTCCGCGTCAAGAGAACTCGCTCAACCCTCGAAGAGCGAATCAAGAAACGCTGCTCATTGCTTGCGCATGCCCGAGTCCTTCTGCAGAAAGCGGAAGAGATGCAGAAAGAAGAGACGGTCAAGAAGCCGTCAAAACACAAGCAGATGTGGGTGCCAAAGGCAAAACCGGCACCAAAGGTAAAAGTGGACGGAATTGTCGTCCAAACTTCATCAGATCCAGATCCCGTTTCCCTTGCCCCTCCGGCGGGGCCAAGTAAGAACGTGGGTCTTCCTAGATCCAAGGTTCCTTGGAAAGGTCGCCTCGGTCCTTTACCGGAAAACCGAGGTAAAGCACCTGTCAAGGAGCGATTGGGACCGATGAAAGGTCCCCAAATAATAAACCAGACTGGGGGTCGTGCTAATCCCCCCAAGAAAGATAACAAAGGGAAAGCCCCTGTTACCGAAACCAGACTGGGGGTCGTGCTAATCCCCCCAAGAAAGATAACAAAGGGAAAGCCCCTGTTACCGACCGCGTTGGATTGCAGGTCGAAGTTCAAGAGCCCGTTAAGTTTTCACGCTCGCAAAAGCGTAGACTTGAACGAGCGACTTTTGAAAACGCTAATAAAGCGTCGTATCCCCAGAGGGAAACACATTCGTCTGATGATGATGGTGTTATACCTGGGAAGTCATGCCAACACTCTGTGGGTTGCTCCAGTTATCAAACTGATGAGTTGTACTATAGAGCTGGGGGTGCGGGTAAGTCTCGAAAGAGAGATGCTCGAGACACGGAATCTCACTGTCCGTGTGCCAACATAATCAAGGCGGTATTGTCAAAATGCTGCTGTTCTAAAGCCCCGAGGAGAGTTTCGGTGTTCGAGAGAATTTCCACCAGAACGTCCGAGACCAAACCAAGGCGTTTTCGTAGGAAGAAACCTATTCGCCAAGAGGACGAATTCCTAGAAGTGTCTGCTAATATGACCGGCAGAGGGAAATCGACACGACACTCTAGCTCAGATCAACTTGCCGAAGCATCCCAACGCATGACTCGATTGCGGTCAGGGATCAATAGGCGAAAGAATTACCAAAGGATGCAAAAGGGACTTCCTTTGGAAGAGGAGGTGTCAGATGCCGGTTCAGACTCCTGCTCAGCTATAGCATCCGATGACACGGCATCTAGTGCGGGGCAACCCTACGAGTCGCTTATGATCAGCGCCGAACAAGTAACCAAGATGCTTGAAGATACCCTGACTAAGCAGAAGGAAGCTTTCAAGTTCGAGATGGATATGGCCATGCAGTAGATGAGAGAGATGCATGACCAGCAAATCGCGGCACTGACAACTCACCAAGGAGAACCCAGTCGTCGCAATAATCCGAATCAAGAGGAGAATGAACGGGAAGAGGATAATGCCAACATGAACATCCCTCCCGTCAACAACAATAATGGAGGTGGTCCCTCGGATGATAATGCTAAAGAGGATCACGTTACCTCTCCCCGAAATCACTCGAAGACAGATACGAGTGAGGACAAGAAAATGAAGGACTTGGAGAGCAAAATCAACGCGTTGATGAATGCTCAAGAAGTGAAGAGGTCCGGCATACCATGTCCATACCCAATATGTTTCTGACGAATTTCTTCGACGACGACACTGAGGTCTCAATCGGCACTCTATTTGATGAGAAGCAGAAGAATGGTGAGACAGTCGAAAACTTCGTGAAGAGATTCCGAAATAAAGCAATGAATTGCAGGGATCCGGTCAGCGAAGATTTCATCCTCGAGACCTGTCATAATAATCTTTCATTGGACATCCTGGAAGCTATGGGAATGGAACGGCTAAAGACCTGGAAGGATCTGAAGGTGCGAGGAGAACGAGCCGAATGATTCCTTAAAAGGAAGAAGGCGGAAAGGGGCCAAATAGCAAATAATGCTCCGCAACAGAACTTTGTCCCTAAGGGTAAGGGAAAAGCACATGCGAATGCTGTGGACGCGAATCAAACATTCAAGGTGCAAGCACAACCGCAACAACAGCAACAAAAGGCGCCTCAACAATCAAGATGGCAACAGCAGCCCCAGAAGCCAAAAGCCTCATGAAGTTCCCGGTATCTTCAAGTACCTCATTGAGAATAACAAGATCAAATTGCCTCCGGTCCAGGATCAGGAAGATGCTAAGAGAATCAATGATCCAAAATACTGCTCATTCCATAGAGCGGTGCACCATCCTACCAAGGCGTGCTATGCCCTTAAAGATAAGATCCAGGCTCTAATTGACGTCGGGGTCATTACCATGAAGCAGCCAAAGGAGAAGAAAGTGGGTGCGAACGCAGTATCGATTAGTTTCGGTTCTGTTCCCTTGAACTGGTTCCAGCATGAGCCGGTAATAAATGCAGCAGTAAAGACCGTGAACGATGATCCTCACAAACAGCGCCAGAAAGGACTTGTACCGCACACAGCCCCGAATGGTGAGATTCTTTGGGTTCATCCAGATTTGATTGGAGATGAACAATGGTCTGGAGCCTCTGCCAAGAAAAGGTCAAAAGGAAAAGGTAAGTCTTGTTATGGAGCTTTTGCCATTCCAGGGGAAGATGACGAAGCAATGCCTGCTTTCTCATTTCCCGACAATGAACATGGGAATGAGTATGGTCGACTGGATGGGGTGGAGATGATTACAACTACCCCCGCACTCACTGAGAGGACCCAACA